AAAAAATTGGACGCAATTAGTAACACCCACCCAGACACAGGGCATTTCAAAATCTGTATTATAGATTTCATACATTCTTTGTCATAATGATTGATTACATTTTCACATTTTGTTAGAGTTTGCTCATGTTTCATTTATATTCATTTTTTACATGACTGTATAAGTACTCGTGTGTAGTTAGTGTGTAGTTAGTATGTTGACCATCCCCGTGTATACACATATAGTTGTAACTGGAGTGATAATATGTTTGTTGCTTAATAATTGTTAAAAATAAAGACGTATCAAGAAACTTGAAATTTCTTGTTTGACTTGTTTCTTTTAGTAAACGAATTTAACCTCCTTCGTTCCTAATTCACAAACCATAAGCTCACTCACACACACACACACACACACACACACACACACACACACACACACACACATAGCAAAATAAGGCAAAGAACCAAATTTTTAAGACTGAGAATCCTTTGCAAACAGTAATAGTTAATTAGTAATCAGCAAGTTTCTAAGCAAAAACATAGCTTACTTTTCTTTACTCGTTGTCTAAGAGGGGGAGATGTCACTGTATTGCATATCATGCTTAAAACCACCGATGTGTAAGAATAAAGTGAATGTGGAGTTTCAAACAAGCACATGACGTTTTGTTTAGGACTATGATAAGATCACTACTACCATTATTTTTTGATATGCAGAGCACAAAAAACTGATGACGACATAACATATAGAAATGAGACTGATACCTAAATTCATTATACATCTATAATGCAAAAGCATAAACATAAAGTACGGTAGCACACAATATTTTCCGATACAATCATAATGTTAAATAGGATCTTGCTGATACTTCTGTAAGAAGCTTTCCAAGTCACAGTGGTACAATGGTCCTTTTTTTTTCCTGGTGTATTTCGATTCAGGCCTTTCAGTCTCTTTGACTGACCATGACATCAGAATAAACCACGGTGTCCTGACTGTTTTTCACTGGAGATCTGCAGGCGGAAATTCTGGGAGCAGAAGACACTGAAGCATAGATGACTCCAGATCTACTCTGAAAAAACATGAAATTTCTATAGATACGTCACACATGTTCTGACTGCTTGGACAAAGAGAGACAACAGCTCATATTTTATTTTATGAGCTAGGTAAACCACCATTGGTCCTCATGTAGTTATAGTTCAAATAAAATGTCAACACTTTTATGCTTGAAATCCCCTGTCTGTGATAGCATAGCAGTAAGTCTATTTATTCCCAAATAGCTAACATATTGCACTATAAAGCCAGTATTTACATTGTTTTTGATTATGTACAAGGGCTGAAAACTATGACCACAAATCTGGCACAATGCTCACAACATTTTTCAAATTCTTAACTCTGAGGTTGCATTTCCCAAAATAGCTGATGCATGCAAACAGGAGCAGACAGGAATTTCTAACACAGGATAACACCAAATAAAGTCAGCAGTGTAATGCATATGCATGTATAGATAGGTGGCAGTATATGTAGAAAGCAAAATCAAGAAAGCCAAAGAGCTTGCTGTAGGTGTGTTTGAGAGTCATAGAGACAAGCAGCAGGAAGGAGGGAGCTGAGCACACCAAGCCCACACCAAACCAGCGAAGCTCGTGCAGCCAATGAATCTTCAGTTAACTCCTGCATGACAAAATATAGCACAAAAGAAAACAAAAGAGAGACACCTAGTGCCAGGATGATCTTGAGATAACCAAACGTGCAAAGAGTTGTACCTCTCTCACAACCTTTAATTCATGTTTCAAAATGCCAATTTTCTTTGTATGAGAATAAACCATCGCAATGATTGTAATACACTGTCTACCAGGGAATAATCTTTCACCTAACAAAGCAGGAAATATAAGCCCTGTCTTCCTGACAAGAAATTTAAAGCTTTACCTTCTTAAAATCTCAATTTCAAGAGATTAACTTGATTGACAGAGTCTGCAAAGACATTTAGAACAAAGCCTAACAGACACACAAAAGTCCACTATTCTGAGAAAGTTTCTAAAAACTTTGATGACTCCAGTTTCCATAATGTCAAGGAACCATGTTTGTTACTGCTGATGATTTATTTATTATCACTGAAATAAAGATTTTGAGTGATTTCAGGGATTTTGGAGACTAACTATAGTTTTTAGTTAAGTGTTTTGGTAAATGCACGTGGACCTCTTATTGAAAGGCTAAATCTAACACATTTATACTGAGTATAGTATATTTTGGATCTAATCATTGGTATATGGAGTTTGCATTTAGGTTGTAAGGTATCTAACGAGTGTGGAAAGAATAATATGAGCTTTTAAAGAAAACTTTAGTGTATAAAACTTGCAGAATAAACAAAGGACAAAAGATACAAAAACATTCATGCAATACTTGGCTGTTTTGTGGAGATCCATCAGATTCGGATGTTACTGTAAACAAAGATGTAGACAATCAGTGGAAGTTTGAAATGTCAACATATAGAATGAAAGCATTATGTACTATAAAGTGACATTTAGCCTCTCAGCTGGATAGATAAAGAGAGAGAGCGTTCAGTGTAAAGTATAATTTTACATACTTTTCAGGTCTTTTCTGTGATTCTTCCGATGCATGGGGCAAGTAGAAGAGTCACTATCCCAAGGATAATATTTGAAAGCATCAATGCAATAAAAGCAGGGCTGATATCATGTAATTTGGTGACACGAGAAGAATAAAGAAGAAATAAATAATTACATTTACATTACATCAGCTTAGGTATGTTAGACTTAGTAATACAAACATGCACATCTTACTGGGAATTTTGATTGTGGTTCCAGTTGCAAACATCGTATGTCCACATGAAGTCACAGCACAATAGTAGGTCCCAGCATCGTCCAAGGTGAGGTTCCATATGAAGCGGTTATACACGCAGATCATTTCTCCACTTTCATGTGTTCTCATTTCCAGATGAATAAATCATCTCTGGAGCAGAATTCTCAGAGTTTTTTATCCATGTGATACTAGTATGTTCTGGTGCAGTCTGCTGACTGCACTGTCTGGGACTCTGACTGATGGATTACAGAGTCACTGATCAGGTTTGTACCTTGGAAAAGAAACCGTTGACCCAGTTATTAGCTTTGTAGTCAATTTGAGAGAAAGAAAAAAAGATAAATGAATGAATAAAAACTTTTGAAATGTAAACACATAACTTTAATCAGGAGAAAGGTTCCTTGTCCAAAGTCACACTTATTTAGTGTTAACACGCCACAGTAGTATGTACCAGTGTCGTCCCGTATAGTCTTGGATATGGTCAGATGACTCTTGAAGCTTTCAGATTTTACTAAAAAATGCTGAGACGGTTCTTTGAATATTGTCAGATTATACAGAGTATCTGTTGAAGCCACTAACTGCAGTCTTTTGCTAGTGGTCAGTTTGTACCACACTCTCATTCTTGGAGCATCATGTTGAATGTGACACGAGATGGTCACTCTGTCTCCTAGTTTTACTGCTTGAAAGGAAACAGGCTGAGAAATGTCACTTAACAGTGCTTCACCTGAAATAAGCAGAGGAATAAGTAGCATAACATTCAGTTTTATGTATATAATGCCAAATAAAAAGGTATTATGAGTGGACTTTGTAACTTACACAGAGACCAGAGTTGGAATACATTAAGAATGTAAACCATCATTTTCGCTGCTTCAAGCTTCCACACAGCAGATCTGACTTACTGAAGTGTCAGT